GGCCTCAAGACCACATGTGGCCTTCTAGGTCCTTGGGTGCCGTCTTTTGCCTGAGTCCCAAGTTTTACCGAACAAATCTGTGAAGTTGGATTCAGTTAAAGGGCTGCACTTGAGGGCCTAGAAGGCCACAGGCTTCCCACCCCTGGCTTAAGGCTTTTTGTTTGTCTGTACTAATTGTGGTACCAATATGGTGAGCCCCAGAGGCAAGGGGGTCACTGGCTGCCTAAGAAGGGGTGAATTGGCCAAGGTTGGAAAAAATGGGTCAAAGATTCTGTACCAAATAGCAGTGGGGTCAGTCCCATGAGTGGGCTGCTGCACTTCCAGTCTATGTGAGGTGGGGAGACCCAGGCTCAAAAACCAAACTAACTAAAACAAAGAACCTATGTTTTACCAATTTTTAGCTAAAAGCCCAGGCCATTTGAGTGTGGTAGAAATACTTAGGAACCTACTGCTAGAAACCAAAGTCCCACCACCATCCAAATCACTCAAGATGAAAAGGTCCCCAGCTAAGTTACCCTCACTCTCATCATCATTTCACAAAGAAAAGAAATGAAACTTACACATGACAAAGAAGAGCTAAGAGCTAAGTTATAACTAAAAGGTGCTGAGAACACAAGATTCCACCATGTTTGTTTGTTGACTTCATATATGAAAACTCCAGTTTAAACACTCTGCCCATCATGCACACACTAAGATGTTATACATCTCCTACAACATAGAGATAACACCATTCAGTGATCCTCTGGAAACAATATGAGATGAGGTATAAAACTGACATATACTTGCCAGAGTTTGCCGCTATCACAGAGGCTGTCCCGTGCAAAGTCCAAATGGAAGAAGGACTCCCTACATATGTTGAGGTTTTTCTGATGCCCCTTTTGGCAGGCAACATTTTGTTGACTGCATCACCTCCTATAACACTATGGGATCTCTTCACTGGGATCCACAACTCCACAGGGATCATCCTAGCAATCCACCCAAAATAAACAAAAGGCTATAGAAATGAGGAATAGAAATGTCACCTCATATTAGTCATTTTATTTCCCAAAATCCAACATTTTTAATTCATGTTTTGGGAATTCCCTTTACCCAATTATTTTTTATCTCCAATTAAATTTATTAAATGTCTAGAATGCACAAGGGAGAAGCTAGGTGGCACAGTGGAGAGAGTGCTGGGCCTGGAGTCAGGAAGACACATCTTCCTGAGTTCAAATCTGGCCTCGGACACTTACCAGCTGTGTGACCCTGGACAAGTCACTTAACCCTGTTTGCTTAGTTTCCCCATTTGCACAATGAGCTGGAGAAGGAAATGGCAAACCACTCCACTGTCTCTGCCAAGAAAGCCCCAAATGGGGTCACGGGGAGTAGAAAACAATTGAAACGACTGAACAAGAAGGTACAAGGCTCTTAAGATGAAAACTGGTAGCTTGTGAATACTTGGGGAAATCTGCGAGAAAACCCAAAGCCTGGGAATTCCTTTCCTTAACAACCCTATAGCATTTTGGTTAGTTGTTGCTTAATACCTTCATTATTCAAGAGATCATTACTAAACCTCCAAAGTTCAAATTAAGTGGTATAATATGCTATTACGTATAATATTCAGAACTGGCAGTCTGCTTAGGGAAATCACTTCACTCAGGCTCCATCACACAAGAAGACAAATACTTAGTAGGGATGTCATTTGTGTACTGTCAGTCACAGGCCAGGGTTAGTCTTCCCACATTGCTTAGATGGGAGCAGGAGCCATCACAAGACGGAGCGAGGGTGTTGTTTGCATCACTTGGATTTTATACTTGGCTGCTACGCTGCTCTCGGTAATTATCCTGGGCAGTGTTAACCAAGCCAAGACGGTAAAACACTAAGTGGTTAACTAGATGGAGAGATTAAAGATGTCAGAAAGCCTAAGTTGGACAAGGGAAGTTTGATTATGTTAATAAATATTTTCCTATGCCACCCCACCCACTGTCACAATACCATACTAACTAACAGGGTTTAAAACAATGCACGTTAAGCACAGACTATATGTAGTTAGGAATATTTTCCACAGGAGTCTTCATTTTCATTCTCCCAAAAGAATTGTGTTGAGGCTATGCAGAAGCACTGCTATCATGGATGACTCAATAATCTTATCCCCTCGCCCCATGTGGCAGCCAAGGAACCTAGAAGACTGGAGGCACCCTTAGTGAGACCAAACAGGGCTTACCTCACCAAGAAGTGTAGTAGGGGGCAGAGCCTAAATCTGATACAAAGCCCCAATTCAGGAATTAAAGTTGGAGATATGAGTTAATCCAAGAAACCATCATCCAGTATAAAAAAAAATTATTATAGATCTAGAGACTTGTAAAAAAAAAAGGAGTAATTCTGTAACAATGAGGCAGTGGTTTAAGGGGGAAAAGACTAATTTTCCATAAATGTTACATAACTACTTAGGAGAAATAAAATGAGAGATTGAAAAAATGAAAGAAAATCTCTGGAGGAAAGAACTGTAAGGATAAGTACCTTGTAAGAAAAAGAAAAACCTTAACTAAGTAATGAACTCCCTGAAAACCATAATAGACCACACAGAAATCAACAACTCTGTAAAGCTCCAAAAATATTACAACAAAATCACGTACAAAAAAAGAAAATTTAAGAAAATCTAAGATATCAGATATCAAAGATAATTGAACTGGAAAACAGGTCAAGGAGCAATAATTTAAGAAACATAACTCTCTGAAAACCAAAATTAAAAACAAAAAGAACTCACAAATGAAAACCTTCCAGATATATTAGAAGCAGAGAGCAAAATAAAGATATAAAAATCTGCCAGTCACTTGCTAAAAGAAATCCCAAAAGAGTAAGTGCCAGAAATGTTCCAGCTGAAATCCAGAGCTCACAAGTAAAAGAAAAAATATATTGCAAAACCCCAGAACACATTAAGTACTAACAACCTACAATCAGGATCACATGAGAACTAGCAGCTTCTAGTTGAGATTCAATACAATATTCCAAAAGGTAAAAGGTGTAAGTTTACAATCAAGAATAACTTACACCCTGACAAGTTGAGTTATAATTCCCCAGAGGAGAAAAAAGTAGACTTTTAGTAGAACAGAGGACTTCCAAACATTTCCGATGAAAAGAACAGAACTGAGTAGGAACTTTGAAATGGAAACACAAGAGCCAGGAAGAACCTAGAAAGATAAACTTATGATTATGTAGTGCTAACATTCTAATGGGGAAGAAGAAACAAATCTCTTTACAACCTCCAAGTAATCAAAGGGTACTGATGAAGTTAGATAAGAAAATCTGAGGATCTGGGAGTAGATTGGTTCCGTTCTGAGAGTTTGATGAGAGGAAACAGAAGAGAGACTGAAAGAACTGAGCTATTAGAAAGGATGAAGAATGGAATGGAACTTGCTAACTCTGCATGAGAAGATCATACAAACATGCAGCTAAAGTTAGAAGGGGAAGGAATTAACTGCGGAAAAAAGAACTTCCAGCAAATTTCTCTGATAAGAGTCTCATTTGCATAATATATAAGGTAATGATTTATACTTACAAAAAATAAGAGCCATTTCCAATTAATAAATCAATAAAAGATACAAGCAGACAGTTGGTTCTCAAAGGAAAGCATCCCAGCTATCAGCAACCATATGAAAAAAATGCTCTAAATCATTCATCACTAAAGAAATGAAAGTTAAAGCAACTATGAAGTTCCACCTCATATCTATCAATTGGCAAAGACAACAAAAAGGCAAAAATGAGAATGGCCGGAGGGCCTTCAAGAAAACAGGCACGTTAGTGTACCGTTAGTAGAGTTGTGAACTGATCTAACCATTTTGGAAAGCAATTTGGAGCTATGCTCAAAATATCACTAAACCGTACATATCATTTGATCCATCATCACCTCTACTAGATTATACCCCAAAAAGATCAAAGAAAAAGGAAAAAGACTCACATGTACAAAAGTATTTCTAGTTTGTAGTAGCAAAAAAATGGAAACTAAGAGGTGCCTATGAATTGCAGAATATCTGAACAATTATAACATATAAATGGAATGGAATATTATTGTATGTAATGATGAGGGGGGACAAGCTCAGAGAAATATAGGAGGACTTATATGAACCGAACCAAAATGAAGTGGGTAGAACCAGAAAACCAATTTATACAATAACGACATTGTAAAGATAAGACAACTTTGAAAGACTAAAGAACTGATCAGTACAATGACCAACCCACATTCCAGAGAAATAATGAGGTATTATGCAATTCACCTCTTGATAGAGAGGTAATGAACTGAAATATACAGACTGAGCATATATTTTTCGACAAGACTGATGTAGGATTTTGCTTTACTGAACTATGCAAATTTGTTACAAGGCTTTTGTTGTTGTTTTTTCCTTTTAAGTTGGTAGGGGATGAGTGTTAAAATAAATGTTAATTAAAAACGAAATATGCTCAGCATATAACCTCTTTCTTAAAGGAGGACAACCATTTTTTCTCCACCTTGACCCACTTTAAATGTGTGTGTGTATACATATGTATGTATACACACACACATACCCATACAGCACAGTTGTAAAAACCAACTGTTGTCATGGTTTCATCGTTAGAAGCAACCACACTATCGCCTACCAGACACCTGCCAATATTTTGATGATTAACCTACTCAAGCTTGTTGATAATCAGATTCAGCAAATGTAAACAGTTAGCTGACTCAGATTCCTCCCATTATCATTCCTGATTTCTATGTGCTCTCTCTCTCTCCCCCTTCCTTCCTTCCCTCTTCCCATTTCTTAAGGAAACAGAACAAGTGAACTTTAATTCAGTTGCTGTAAACAATCTACCCAATGAAAAATTATCACCAATCCCTAAAAGAGTCAATTACAAGACAGATATGGCAAATTATGTGCCAAAACCCCAAAACAGTTAGGGAACCACAAGAGAAAGGCCTAGTAGGACAGATAAGTTGGTTCCTTCTTTCCTGGTTTATGTATAATCTCTAATTTTGGATCCCTTACCTCTCTGTAGATATTGTTCTCCAAAGGCGATGTAACTAATTAAGTGTCAGGGAAATGGTTTGTAGATTCAATAATTCCAAGAGGGTCTCTGGAAGATGAAACAAAACAAAAATAAGCATAAACAGACAATAGGGAAGGTTGTGGGGAGAGGGAATCAAAGTATGGATGAAATAAAGGAGGTAGAAATATGTTAACACTGAATGAAAGTGGGAAGTTTTAGTGAATCTGAACATTTCTCTTACAGGTTCAAACTTGAAAAAACACCACCCAAATTTAAGGCTACCCCAGTGACCAAAACTTTCTTATTTTCTGTTTTTTTTAAAACATAGTATAATAGACTGACATCTTAGACTGTATACCAATATAAAGTCAAAATGGGTGCATGATTTAGACATAAAGGATGATACCATGAGCAAATTAGGGGAGCGTGGAACAGTTTACCTGTAAGACCAAACACTTGACACCTACTAGCTGTGTCACTCTGGGCAAGTCACTTAACCCTAATTGCCTAAAAAACGTTTTTAAAAATCTATGTATAAGGAAGAATTTATGACCAAACAATAGAGAACGTTATGAGATATAAAATAGATAATTTTGATTATATCAAATTTAAAAGGTTGTATGCAAACAAAACTAATGCAACCAAGATTAGAAGAAAAGCAGAAAACTGGTGAAAAATTTTATAGCAAGTATCTCTGATAAAGACCTCATTTCTCAAGTATGTAGAGAACTGAGTCAAATTTATAAGAACAGAAGTCATTGCCCATTCAAAACCATCTAAAGTCAAGAAAAAATGCTTTAAATAACTACTGATTAGAGAAATGCAAATTAAAACAACTCTGAGGAGCTACTTCACACCTATCAGATTGATAGAAAAGGAAAATGATAAATGTTGGAAGGGATGTTGGAGAAAAGGAAAATTATTAATGTTGGAGGGGGAAATTGGAATACTAATGCACTGTTGGTGGAGTTATGAACTGATCCAAATATTCTGGAGAGCACTTTGGAGCTATATCCAAAGCGCTAGAAAACTGTGCATATTCTTTCATCCAATAATACCACTACCAGGTTGGTATCCCAAAGAGAGCCAAAAACAGAGAAAAGAACCTATTTGTACAAAAATTATTTATAGAAGCTCTCTTTGTGGTGGCAAGGATTTGGAAATTGAGAGGACGCTTATCAATTGGGGAACTGCTGAACAAGTTGTGGTATATGATTGTAATGGAATACTATTGTACTATAAGATGATGATGAACGGGATGATTTCAGAAAAACTTACATGAACTGATGCAAAGTGAAATGAATAGAACTCGGGAGAACATTGCACACAGTCATAGCAATAATGTGTGATGATCAGCTGTGAATAACGTAGCTATTCTCAGCAATACAATGATCTAAGATGATTTCAAAGGACCCATGATGGAAAATGCTATCCATATCCAGAGAAAGAACTGATGGAGTCTGAATGCAGATCAAAGCATACTATTTTTCACTTTATTTTTTTCATGGTTTGTTTTTTGTTGTTTCTTGGGGGGCAAGAGGGGGGTCTGTGTTTTCTTTCACAACATGACGAATATGGAAATATGTTTTGCATGACTGCACATGTATAGCCTGTATTAAATTGCTTACTATTGCAGGGAAGGGTGAAGGAAGAAGAAAGAGAATTTGGAACTCAAAAAAATTTTAAGTGAATGTTAAAAATTTGTTTTTATATGTACTTGGGGAAAAAAGAAAACATAGTATGGTGGGACTCACACTAGACTTAGATGCAAAATATCTTGAACATCTATTTCTATCCTATTTCTGCCCCCTCTGTAAATTAGGAAAACTACCATCTACCATACCTACTCCATAGGGTCATTGTGAAGGTCAAAAGTGCTGGACTTGGTGTCAGGAAGACCATGGTTCAAATCCTGCCTCGGACACTTCCTAGTTGTATGACCCTGGGCAAGTCACTTAACCTCCAGGTCTCACTTCATACCCTGTAAGGTCTTCTAGCTTTAAATCTATGATTCTAAATCACCTTATAACTATAAAGCTCTGTACAAACAGAAGGTAGATTTCACTATTCCTTTAAAGGCTGAGTCTTTTTAAAGTGAGGTTCGGGCTGCCTCCTGGACCATGAGAGCTGTCTTCTTAGCACCTGGTAGCATCTGTTCTGCACACCAACAAAACAATTCCTGCACAGAGGCACCTCTAAGTGCAGTCAAGCAGTTAGGTACGAGACATTTCCACACACTGAATCTTTTATTTCCTATGGGCAACGAGGTAGAAAGTCAGGGCTGAATTATGGCCACATCCAGCCTGACTCATGTGACAAGGTTTTCTGGTGAGCTGATTACATGGTGATTATTAACTACCTTGGGAAGAATTTGCCAGTTTGGTCTGTCTTCACTGGAAGGAGAGAGGTTTCATTCTTTTCCCTTGGTACCACTGAAAGTGTCCTCAGTTCTCTTGAGTTTGAAGCCATTTCATTTTCTAAAAATGCCCAATCTTTATGTTTTGAAATGTTTATCTAGGCACTAAACATTAATCTGTAAAATGAGAATAATAATAACATCTAGCTCACAGGATTGTAGTGAGGCTAAAATGAGATAATATTTACATAGTGCTCTATAAACCTTCAAGCAATATATGTGTGTGTGCACACATGTGCATACGTATATACACTTGTGTGTATATATTACATACATACAAGTGTACCCACACACACATATAGATACATAGATGATAACGTTTATTATAGGCAAAGGTCAAAGTTCATTATTTCTTGTAATCTTATTTACATGTAGCAGCTGCTAAAGTTAATATTTTCAAAGTACAGCAGAGATAACACTCGTGTTTTAAGCCACTTATAAGCCAGTCCAAAAGCTATTAGTCCTAAGTAACCCCCCAAGCCTATCTCAGATAGACATTCCTAGCACTTATCACATTAAGGAATGTATCTACAATCAAGATCACAGCTTGCTTTCTGACACTGACTCTGTCTAAAACAGTAATCAAAAGAATAGAAGAAATGATGTGTAGATCTGGCCAGTTGTTACTCCTAGGGCATTCTTTATCTACTATTTTTTCATCACTCACATTTTCTCTTTTAACACACAAACTTTGGAAAATTCAAAAGACAGAACCAGATGCTTCCCCTCTTCAAAGTTATTATAGAGAATTATTAAGGAAAAAAAAAACTTAGGCCTCCAAAAAACCCATGGGGCTGGCATAAAGGGAGAAAAGACATTCATAAATTAAACAAGTTAGGCAGGCAGGCAATGCTTTGAGAGATCCCAGTTGAATTACAACTTGAATACATTAATTTATAAGCATGGCAAAGATTTATGAAAGTGACCCCAGAATTTAGGATAGCTACACACAGATAGCTGCTATTCTTTATTAATGAAGCATTTTACTAATTCTGCACCAAGAGGCCCACAACTTTTTCTTTTTCATGCAACCTCAGAAATGGTGTTAAATATTAAACATTCTGCTCAGAGTATATGAAGATCTCAAGGCAATTAGTGGCTACCGTTTGAATGTCAACAACGTTGAAAGCACCATATGTAACATGAAGTTAGAAGACCTTTAAAATAAAAATAGACAGCCTTTATAAATAAATATAGAAGCAAATTGGAAATAAAGTAATTTTTTTTTGGAAGCTCTCAACATACATTGAGGTAGCACAGTGGATAGAGCCCCAGGCCTGGTGTCAGGAAGACCTAAGTTCAAATCTGGCCTCAGACACTTACTAGCTGTGTGACCCTGGGCAAGTCACTTAAACCTGTTTGCCTCAGTTTCTTCATCTATAAATAACAAACCACTCTAGTATCTTTGCCAAGAAAACTCCAAATGGGGTCATGAAGAATCAGACAGGACTGAATTACTAAACAACAGCAAAAGAACATACACTGAATCTCTGCAGGACAATGAGCAAATCACTTAATTTTTTGAGCCTCAGTTTCCCCATGGATAAAATGAGAATAACAACTTAGGCAGGCAGGCAATGCCCTGGGAGATCCCAGTTGAATTACAACTTGAATACATTAATTTATAAGCATGGTAGAGATTTATGAAAGTGACCCCAGAATTTAGGATAGCTACACATAGAAATCTGCTATTCTTTATTAATGAAGCATTTTACTAATTCTGTAATTCTAGTAAATTTACTAATTTACTAGAATTTACTAATTCTAACTTGTCCTTCCTACCTCACAAGACTGTTGTGAGAATCAAATGAGATCTCTCAGGAATGCCATATACTCCAAGTCTTGAATTAAGATTCTATATGTGTAGGTATGCATGTGTGTCATATATATATATATATATATATATATATATATATATATATATACATGAAAAGTGATTTATTATATCTATATTATATTTCCATTGTCATTGATGGCTATGTGACCATGGGCAAATCACCTAACCTCTCCCTGCTGGAGGTAATAAATTTTAGAAAAGGTCCTGACCTACATTGGTAAAGGCAGTTTCCTCATTTGGGCATTTCCTATTGAATGAAATCACAGCTCCAGTCCCTATCTCTATTGTCATTATCGTAATCACCATCTTATACTTGACTTACCTCCCTCACAGGGTTTTTGGGATAATCAAATGAGCTAATATAAGCAAAGTACTTTATAATTGTGAGCTTTATTATTTGTTGTTGCTATTGTTGAAGTCAACTTTTACCTCACTCTCAAAATATCTTTTAAACATTCCTCCTCACTCCTTTAAGAAGTACCCTGAATCCATTTATTGACTGAATACTCTTAGATAGGTTGATGATTGTTACTCACATGACCATGATCATAAAAGAAAACAGAAATCTTTATGCTATATGCTGAGAGATAAATGACTCCAGGGCCTGAACAAAGTTTTCTGTGAGTTAAACTTGAGGCTGTTTAAAACCAAACCAAAACTCTTGAAATGAGCCTGACCTCTAAACAAATCTTCCAGGTCTCTCTCTCACTGTAATTTTCCAAAGGGCAAAAATCAAACCTGAAAATACATAAAGAAGCAGTATGACCTAATTCCATTTCACTGTCTTATTATTTAAAAGTACATCATTTGACACAGGAAAAGAGGTATTATGAT